AAACGTAACTCACCACAAAATCTTGCTCTGTCTTCGGAATTTCCTTTGCTTCACCATCAGGCAAGAACAGGTATGCGCCAGAAAGGTTATCGGCATTACCACTCTTCACTAAACCACATGGTTTAGTATGCTAATAAAACATTAAGTTGACAAAATTCACCAAGCTCGGAAAATTACACAGAATGCAAAAAATAACAAATCATTTGCGGACACATTCGTGCAACATAGATAACGATTTCAGAAAAATCCATGGGGAAAAATAAAAGTGGACTACCACCACAAGAATAGAAAACAACTTACAACGTTCCTCAAATGTAACTAAAAATGCGTTTGTGACAGCGAAAAGAAAATGAAATCTAGTGAACTCAACAATGAAAGAGCATGCAAGGTACGGAACGAACCGAACTTCGAATAATCATTTCATGATAAATGTAAAGCAAGACTTACGTCTCTGGTGCGCACGAACGCCATAATGAACATAGTGCAGATCGACATCGATTTTTCCATGATCTTTAGGTGCAACTGCCTGGAGATCAGAGATCAAAATAAACCGAAATAAATAATAACACTCCTACCTTTAGAAAACCTGTTACGGTATCAAACTCTGCAGCAACCACAGAATTGTCCAATACATACGTGTTTGCAGTGATTGGATCGAATTTGAACTCACTGAAAAAACAGAAATTCAACTCTAAATCCCAAACGTTCACCTACGGTACTGTCATACCTTACCTAGTTTTCACAACACCTTTCGCTGTAAGCGTGGCCATCACGACATGCTCACTAGAGGTTGCTTTTATCACCTGATAGACATTAACACCAAATGGCTCCAGCTCATCGACAAAGCACAACTGAAAAAATATTTAACGAGGTGTGAGAAAATCAGCATAAATCGAAAAAGATGATATAAATTCAGTATGGATAGAAATCTCGAAAGAAAGTTCTCGAACAACGCATACCTCGTACTTTTCTGACGGTACCAAATGGTCATCTACAAGATCGAACAATGGTGATATCTGCTGCTTCACCTAGAACCGAGCAAAGGTAAATCACAAGAAATTCAATAAATGTCCTCCTATGATTTTACTTATAACTCAGAACACCTACGCCAACATCTTCAGAAGCAAACATAAACAAAGTAGCATCTTTTGGCTCAACACCATTCTA